AGTGACTCCCCGTTCATTTCAAAACTGCCCTCTCTATTTTAAACAACCTTTAGGAGCTTATTCAAGCCTGTTTTATGGATAGTGTCTGTTCACAACCATGCTCTCTAGCTCTGGCCTACCACACATGACAATGTTTAGTTTCAGAGCCTTTTCTGCAGCTCCCCCAGTTTAGGACACCTTACCTATATATTACCTTTTCAGCAACTTTCAAGCTCGTTGCATCATGGCAAATTTCAGCTGAAACTGTGTTTCTAATTGTTTCAAATTTGTGTCTTCATATTTCTCTCTCTCTCTCTCTCTCTCTCTCTCTCTCTCTCTCTCTCTCTCTCTCTCACACACACACACACACACACACACACACACGCTTTTTTGAAAATGAATTTTCCGTATAACTTACTGAAGTGTTCTGAAAAACAGTCTTTGTGAAAGATAATATATCAATGCCACAATCCAGAAAAAACCTCCATTGAGGTGCACCGGAGCATAGGAGCTGGGGAACACTCGCACAGGTAAAGTTGCAGGACTAGAGCCTCAGATTGGGTGAGGGATGAGATTTGGGGAGAGAGAGGTACCATAGGATTGGCAGATTCCCAGCTCCATGAGAAAACACATGAATCCTGTGCAGAACCTTCCCTTTGTGGCTGATTGGGGGTAGATAATAACATAGTCAGGAACTTTTAAAAGGTGGGATACTGATGACCTAGTCATTTTTCAAGGTACATCAGAGTGGTTTAAGGGAACTTTAGTTGATTGCATCCTAAATTGTTTATCAACCCAGTAAATATTGTTTATAAGCAACAGAAAACTTTCATTAATTACAGAAGCATATTAATAGATATTTAGAATATTTAAAACTGTTTATGCAACCTAAGGTGGATCAGCATTTAAATGTTTCGATTTGTTCATAATTACTGCATATTTGGTGGATTCTTCACCATGACTCATGTTATATGAATAATTGATTTGGACATTTGTTTTAAATAAAAAGGAAAATTCTACATCATAAATTAAAGTGATGCACAAGTTCCTTTTTAAAAATAACCTTTTCTTTTCTTTTCTTTTTTAACTATAGAAACTCTGGCAATTCTTGGACTGAGATTTCTTTTAGAGAAGGTTTCAGACTTGGTTATGTTATAATATTCCTGAAAATGCAGGTTTACAACAGAATTGCTGACAAAATCCTCACTGCCACTACAATTTCCTAATTCAGTTTTGGTGAGGAAAATTCACGGAGAATTCAATGTCAAGAGCACAGAAAAAAGTCTTTCTTTCTAGTTCACATATTAGTGAAAACTTTTAAACCTGCTGTTCACCAGCACCGCAGACATTTGACTTACATTTGTTTTATGTCACTGGGGAAACCAGGGGAGAGTGGGGCTGAATGGACTTGAAAATAATTGCTCTCTTTGGCATGGTTTTCTGGAGACGCCTGTCAACTAACTGAAGTTTTCACTTCTCCTTCACTTCGAGTTGGGAAGGCCACTGTGTGTAATGGCTTCTCTAGTATTAACATCTGTAGCATGTTACACCTCATCAGAACAAAAGTGAAAAAAATAAAGTATTCTACAAGTGGGGCCCATTTACATGAGATAAAGTCAGAGATACTGTGATTAGAGTGAGGAAACGTCAGCTATATCTGAGTAAAGAAGTTCTATGTCTTGTGTAGTTCTCTAAATATTTCTGTAGCAATTTGTGGCACAAACAAGATAGTCTTCAATTCATCTTTCCTGTCACAAGCAGAACTGGGCAAATCAACATGTGAAAGGGGCAGGAAAATGTCAGAAAGTGCCTTCATTGAACTAGATGACAACTTTGTTTTTGTCTGTAGTTCTTGCTATATCTTCTTCCAGTATTAGATTATGTCCAGATTGATCTCAGCATTAGAGATTATCTACTTCTCTGATGGCACAAAGTGTCTCAGTTCCAAATCTCACCCTCTCCCCCACCCTTCAAAAGATTTGGATGGCTCTTGGGATAACTAGAGGCCACACAGGATGAATGGTATGTAACAATCCATTCATCACTTTGCAAATATTAGTGCTGTTCCCATTTGCTGCAGCAATAATTCTTGAAAATTGGTGAGGTGAGTAACAACAACGTTATTTATCCTAAGGCCTTGGTGCTGAGATGCAATAACTAGGGGACAATTTCCTTGAAAGCATCAGAAGCCCTGGGAATAAAAATGACAAAAGAAAACCGCAACAAAGTTCTTGAAGAGGCTAACACATGTTATAAAGTAACAGAAATCTCTTGTTTAATTTCATTGCCTCAAAGGTAATAAAAAGCATTTTGTAATGATTTGTATATAAACAATGGGCAGAAAAGACAGTGAAGATTCCTGATTCAGTGTTTAAAGGCAAATAATAGGAGGTAACAAAAGATTTCCCCTTATCCCTGCCCTCCTCTCTTCTGAAGGAGATTACTCTAAAGGTTTGTTGGCATTTAATTTTTGGTTTCTAGGAAAATGCCTGCTTCACCAAAGAGTCTGTTAGTTCTCTCTCTCTCTCTCTCTCTTTTTCTGCATTGCTTATCTGAATATATAAGCCTGCCCGTTGCTCAGATTTATGGGTTGGGGCAGTGCTGTGTGTATTTACAGTCTCCTGACCTGAAGACCCAGAGCTGAATGAGAAAAGGAGGAAACCAGGGCCTGTTCCATAAACAGAGACAGATATGAGGGGGAGGTAGGAGACACTGCTAGCACTTAACATTTTTAACTATTTGTCCAAGCAAAGGAATTAGTGATTAGATTTGAGAAAAAGAAAAATGAAACTCCCGGGGAGAAATAAACTGTGTATATCTATGTTAGGCTCATGGTGTTTTCAGTACTTGATACCAGAAAAATATGGCAAGTTATACAGATGACTTCACAATGCTTTCTGATAGAAAATGAAATAAAGGAGGTGAACAAAATTCAAAAGCATTTCAATTAGAACCGTGCCTTCCTTGGCTTAAACAGTAGTATAATTACAATTTGAGTAGGCTGATCTCTTAGTCTATATGTATTCAGGTATTTATGGCCTCACATTGAGTAAAAAAATGACTTGATCAGATTAAATATTTTGTGGATTGTAGTTATCAGCTTGTTTGTAGGTAGAGATTCAGTTTAGATGAGATTTAATCCTGGGAAATATCTGCTCTCTTGGATGCTGAACAGTGAAAGTGGTAACAACTTGGAAAATAAATAAAGAAATGAAATGAAATGCAACATATGTTAGGTCACAATACAGCATAAGTATATCAACATGATGAAAAGCTGTGATGAAAATGGTAAACAAAACCACCTTCTCTTCCTCCAGATTGCTTTACATTGCAATAAACCACAAACTCTACAATTTATCAGAAAATGCTGATATTTTATGCATCATTTCCAACTACTATTTGAACCTTTGATTTTAGAGCTGTTATGCAATATAAGTAATGGGGAAGGATGGTTGTTTTTAATAAAAAAGCATCTTTTATAGTATTGAGTAACCTGTAGATCCAAAACTTCATAGATGACATGATTTCATTGTAGGTTTTATGTTGATATTTTAACACTGAACAAACATTTGCCATGTGTAATGGATCATGGAAGTTAGTTCAGGCTTAGCTGTTTGAGATGGTCTCATCTGATTTGTATGTATTACTAATAATTCATCAGTACGCATGCAAAATGAAAGTTATAATAAAAATACAGCTATATTGTAATAGCAATAATGCAAAAATGTTCACATTAAAAGAGTTTTCTCTTTTTAATTACACTTGGACTGCAAGACTCCATTCAAAAACAACAGGTTAGACTATGAGAATTACAGAAAAAATTTGGCATGAATAAAAACTGATGAAAACTGCTTATTCGGAAGACATAGATCAGGGGTGGGAAACCTCAGGCCTAGGGGCCAAATGAGGCCCCTGGCTAGCCTGGATCTAGACCCTGAGGCTCAGGATCCCCCACTCCTCCACAGGATTGGGGAGTCCATGCTGGTGTTCCACAAAATTCACTACCCTGGGCCCAGTGGCATAGCAAGGAGCGTATGGGAGGCAGCTGCCTCTGGACACCACACTAGGGTGTACCAATTTAGTCCCCTTCTGCTCCCCCTGTCATCCCTTGGCTCGCCTGCTCCTCCTCTGCCTGCCACCGCCGCCTCTCCACCCCCAGCCTGACCTTCTTCCATCTCCCCAGTGGGTTAGTATGTGCAGGAGCCTGGCCCCAAACTGGAGGGGCAGGGAAAGACACAGTACAAGTTCCCCCCACTCCCTCAGGGTTGGGCTCAGCTGTGTACCAAGTTTGGGGCCCTGCCACAGTGGTGGCGGTGGGGGGGGGTGCAAATTTTGTCTTTGCCCCTGGGAGCATAACACCCTCACTATGCCTCTGCCTGCCCCTTCGCTCTGGTGTGGGAGGAAAATGTGGGGAGTGTCTTTCTCCTTCTCCATTGGGGGCCACATCAGTGAGGGTTTCTTTGCTTTTGCTTCTCACTTGTGATAAGTTTCTAAAATTTGAAGTTTCAGCTTACATTTTCCCAAAGTATAAGCAAATCTGAAAACAAATTTTAATGATTATATATATATATATATATATGTAATATTAAAAGCGATTTTGACTGACATTCTGACATTTATTTCGTACTTTTGCTGTTTTCAAATAAAATCATTTGTTGTGTAGAAAGAAGTCATGCTGGAAATGGATTCAGTCAAGTAAAAAGTGTCTGTGAAAAGGGGGGGGCTATGACAAGGCTACTAAAATCCTGTTCTTTATTGTTTCTGCTGATCTCCATTTGCTAGTCAAATAATTTTCTTTTCTAAGAAGGTGCAGTACATAGCAACAGTATGTTCGGATGTAACCATTTGAAGCTGAGGCCTAGCGCAGTCTGCCAGGAAAAAAAAAAAGGCACCACAAAGAACATTGAGATGAATGGCTCTATTTTATGAGCCATAAAAGTTTTATTCATCTTGACACTGAAACAGGTTTAGGCAGTGAGTTGACACGCCTTAAATAAATAAGTGGAATTAATTCCCTAGCTCTTGAAACAATAGACGCATGCATGTAGCACTGAGAGCTAGCCCATTGTTTCCTGTTGCTGCTTGATATTGATATTATTTGTGTTTTTCCGTACGGCTTCCTCAGGGGCCTGCTTGATCCACTTCAAATTCTTCCCCTGTTTTATTAGAGGTTGAAAAAGGTCCAAGACCTGGTTGTACCACTGCTCCCACCGACGGCTAAGGAACCAGTTTGGCGTCTGGTTTGTCTGTTGTTTTACTGCTGACCTTCAAATCAACTTTAACCCCTGACCCCTGGAGGCATCTATCATGACAAGAGGCTGTTTAACACAAATGGTGCCCATTTATAGGGGAAGAGAGTCAGAAGATTTCCTTTTTATGAAGAATTTGGTTTTTCACCCCTCTTTTCTCAGTCACCACAGGTGAAATCCCTCCTAGCAGCTGGCTTATGAAATAATGTGAGGGGGGTGGCCCTAATGAGCTGAAAGCACCCTCAGCTGGAGATAAATATATGCAAATGAGATGCACAAACAAAGGAGCCTGGACAGAGAAATATCTGCAATTCCAGCAAAATGCTGCCTGCAGCTAGAAGATGAACAGCTTTGATAAAATGGTAACAAAAAGCACCTTTTTATCCTCCAGCTTGTTTTACATTGCAATAGACCATTGTTATTGTAACCCATCGGAGCATGCAGAGGTTTTCTGCACTGCTTCAAAAAACTGTTTAAACATTTGTTTTAAGGCATTCATGAAAATATCAATGTGGGGGTGGGTTTTATTATTTTTCACTATTTATTTATTTGCTATAGGTCTTAATGTGATTATTTTACCTGTTGGTCTTTTTTTCTGGTGTTAATGACAGTGTTTTGTGCTAATATTTCATAGGGCATGAAATTTGTCTGTAAAATACAAGTTCTCTAAAATTCTATTGGGAAACAATACACATTGACAAGTAGTGGGAATCAGCTTTGAAGTGGTGGGCAGGGGGGTGGGGAGTAGACTCTTGAACATTCACAGAGCAGCACCCAAACAGTCAGCTTTAATGAAGGCAATCAAGTCTTTAAAGCTAATTCAAAGACAGACATGTAACATGCTGATTTTAATAAGCTTTTAAAAGGCAATCTCTAACTTTTAAAAGTCTCCCTTTTTAATTTAATTGTTTTTGGTTCAAACACAGCCGCTAAAATATGTTTTCAAAATGTATAAGTAGGCTACCTAGACAAAGTTTTAAATTGGTCCTATATTTTGAGAGGGAAGCTACTTCAGGTGAGTTTAAGAAATTATCCAAGTTTTAGGTCATAGCAAAATTACATGTATCTTTATTTGTACTGAGTCAATAAACTTTAATATATTAAGTTTTTCTATAAACATCTTTTTTTTAAAATATCTATTCCTTCATGCACATACATTTACTTTATAAGTAGATGAGAAAAAATACAGGACAATATACTATAACAATATTATTTTCATACTGCCTTTCGACTATAAGTAAATAGATCATTACAAATTCATAAGAAAACTATAAACATTATGAAGTTTAGAAGGGTTTGTTCAGTCTTTAAGCTAAACGCTTTAACTCCATTTTTTTTAACTGATAAAAAATAGAGACCCCAAAATATTACTCTTTTATTATGTTCATTTATATAGCTTTGGCGTTTGCAAATGTTATACTAGACAAGTGTCAGGTCTCCCAATATCAAGCAGATCTCCTAATTTTTAGATAACTCCTGTTGCATTTTAGGGCCAGATTAGGGAGAATTAAATTTAATTTTTGTGACTATCCATGGGAAAAAAATATTTACTATAATTTTTTGAATATAAAATATGATACAACGTTCTGTTTTAAGAATTAGAGTAATAGGAAGTTCAGAATTTCAAGAGTTAACACAAACTTGGTTATTTTATGTAGGTTTTCTCCTCATGCCCAGGTTTGAAGCAGCATAATTATGTTCAACTGCTGTTGTTTGGAAAGGGCAAACAGCATCTTAGGCACAGAACAATGAAATTACAGCTGAGATTTAGGTTAGCAAAAGCCGTCTTCTGCAGGCTTTTATGATTCATTATTTCCCATTAAATACAGTATTAGAAGTGTACACCAGATAGCTCATGGTTGCTGCTCTCAGAGCACATTATCTATATTACACAGGTCTGGGGAGCAGAATTAGAAAACTTTGGGGGAATGAGCAATATGTGTTTGCTGATAGAAGTACCATATGGCTCATCTTCCTCAATTGCTTTCATTGCGACTCTGATGCTGGAGAAATTAAAGTTTTATTTGATGTGGCACAGCTTAATGAACTGTCTTCTGTTAGGAAAATTGAATATGTTTCCTGTTATTTGAGCACAGAGCCCTCATGGTTTGGGCTGATGAGGAATGCATTATGTATTGTTTATTTAGTGTTTTAAAAACAAAAGCAAGATATTGTAGGTAAAATTGATTACTGCAGGATTGTATTATATACCCACATTTTTCTTCTCTATCTTTTTTTAAACTATAGAGTCCTGCTCATTATTTTAATGACAAGATCATTGTATATCACTGAAAAAACATTTGATACACAATATATGGTATACATTTTGTCCAAAAGCAGCATTATAATTTTAAAGCTCATGAAATAATATTTAGGAATAAAATTCACTGCCATGAATATAAGCATAATTGCACAACTTCCAGCGGGCCCCTCTGCAAGCTGTAGTTGTTTCAACAGTAGGTTTGTGTGTATTGTCATATTGTATTTTAAAGGAACCCCCTGGCTTTTTATTAACTAGATGACACAATCAAAAAAGAGGAGAACATAGACTTTGGTAACAGAAAGCCCCAATTTTGAATTTCTATGCGACATCTGTTGGCTATATAACAATGCTGTCAAGAATACGCTTAGTTACAACAAGGTTGAAACCGAAGGGGAAGGAGTAGCTGTATAAGCTGTACTATATAGAACATGGCCCAGATATTTGTTGGCATAACTCCATTCGGGTCAACTGAGTTACAGCAGCAGAGAATTTGGTCCCATGAATTCAGGATGAAAATGTAAATAGACATAGTTAAAAAAAGATGGAGGAAAATAATATTTACATCTTAGCATATATATATTTTAATAAAGTGATTGAAACACTGATTCTGTATTAACAACACTAAATCAAATAATTTAAAGAAATATACAGCTATATTTATTTTAATATTGGACTGATTTTGTGGGAAAGGAATATTTTGGAACTCTGAAAATGACAATCTGAACCATAGCCAGAGCATTTTATCCTCACAAATTCACATTTTAAGCATTAAAAATATTTCCATCCCCTTTCACACGTCTGTACTAACAGTTTAAAAATATTGATCTTTAAGGAACAGAAATGAAGACAAGAGGGAAAAAAACTGTTCCGATGAAGCAACTCTTTTTCCTGACACATTCGCCATCCTGACAAAAAAGCAATTTGTCTTGTGTACCCTGTAATGTTTTGAGGATTCTGGCACATGTGTCTCTTAAACAAACAGCTCTTGGAATCTAAATACTGTCTATTTAAAGCGACTCTTCCAATGTATTTGTAGACCAAGTCCTGCAGTCTTCACTCCACCAAAATTCCCATTGACGTCACGAGGAGTTCAGCTTATGTGACGACTGTAGGGTTTTGCCCTATCGTATTAACAAAACCAAAAACCCCGCTGGTGTGAGAAGGGAAGGATATTGGTATTGGAAATATTGTGGAGCAAAGCAGTCAAACAATGTCTGCACAAACACTGACTGCAAATATTTTCCATTCTGTATTACTTCTCAAACCATTCCCTACAATATTTTCATATGAGCTCAAAAATAAATAAATTATAGTTGGGGGTGGGAGAAGAATTACATTGCAGCCCATGCAGAAACCACTAAAACATCATTTTTAGCCAGATATATTTCCTGGAGAAGAGAATGGCACATTTTTATGAAACACTGTTCCATGACAGGAACCTCCTTTGAGGAACACCATTATGCATTGTTATCAGCATGGTGTAATTTGACTGTTGACAAAGTATCTGTGGCAGTGAGAATGAAAGCAGTTAGAAGTGTGGCGGATTGTAATCAAGAAGATGCTTAGCTGTGCAACACTGCATCTTGAGCAGATTTGAATCAACATTGCCTTGAGGGGACACACACATACAAAAAAAAGTCCATTAATTTTTAGTGGGAAAATTAGAGTGGCACTTGATGAAGTGAAATTTGACATGCGTTAATTGCTCCGCAGCTCTCCTAATTAGAGATTTTCAAATTCTTTTACTGCTGTCAGACTGATGCCACATTGTCTTGCTGGACAAACAGTAAAATTGTAAATTGGTCTGAGCAAGAGGTTGTGTTTATAGATACTGGACTTTTTGGGGGTTTGGTGGTATTGTGGCCTACTAAAAAAATAAATGTTATTATACTTAATATAAATAAATAAGAATAAATTTAGTTGGGCTGGTAAAACCTATATCCAAAAAGGAAAGGGACATACACTAAAAACCATGGGGGTTTTTAGTTGTTTAATCTTTCCTAAAGATATTACTTGTGTAGCATGTGAGAGATGTTAATTTTAATAACAAAATAATTAAGCAAATCCAATTATTTTTAGTGGGCATTGTACGCAGCTTTTGTAATGGAAACTTGAGAGATCAGGAAGTGGAATTCATAGTCCTGTTTACCTTTTCATTTCATCTAAAATTTAAAATAGCAAGACGGTATTGTGCCCTTTCAGATCATAAAATGATTACACTGTTGTACAACATGAATTTTGTGCTGAATCTGAAATGATGGTTTTTGGCGGGGTTGGGTTGTGTTTTGGTTTGGGTTTTTTTGGTGAGTTCCCTCTTCTTCTCCCGCTCTCCACTATACCTCCTGCCATACTTAGCTCTTGAAGCACACTTAATTCGTTAACATATTGAATTTTTTCAATTTTCTATTTTCTTGCAATAACAATATTAGTGCCAGGGCCAAAGCTTGATTGGAGCTAAATTACTTGTTACCTGCTGGCATTTATTTATATGGCATTGAATTATAAAGCTTTCCTATTGTCATGCCTTGGGCGAATTGTTTATGACACCAGTAATAGGAGTAATTGTTATTGTTGAAATTACCTGTCAGCTACCCATAGCAGTGGCCCTTGTCCCACTGACAAATAGTGACAGGGGAGAGGGATTCTCCACGCGTCCTCCTGATGACTTCTCCTCTGATAATAAGAAGTGCAGGGCCTCTGATAATTTGCCTGTCACTGTTGAGTGCAGCTCAGAGAGAGTTGGCCAAATTGTTGTCATTCACTTTGACAAAGACAGCAAAATGCTCTGGTGCAAGAGGAGGATTATCAAAATAAATGAAATCTCTTAAACATCCTTTGTTTGGCATGGGGTTTTTTGGTAAGAAATTGCCTAGCTTTATATGAGAGTTGTAAAATTTGCATATGTTTCTTATTGCTGTTGCTACTTATGGGGCACAAAAGGCTGTGGCAGTTTGCTTTTTGAGTAAGGAATACACCCAGTGGTTTAAGACTAAATTCACCTTTATAAATATAAGAAAAAATGACTGTTTTGTAAAGTAAATTGATTTTTTCATTGAAATTGTTCTCTTTTGAATAACTTTAAAAAAATCTTTTTATAAA